CCATCTGAGCACCAGGGAAGACACGGGCCTCATTAAAAACATTACCTTGGAGACTCTGCAAATCACATTGTATTATTCGCTGCCCCACTCTCCAACCCTACATACCCCTCACTCCCTATGCTCATCCAGTCGGGAGCAGCCCAAACCCCTTTTCCTCCAACACACACCCTTCACTGTATTTCTGCAGGCTCTTTGAAGAATTGATGTAAAATTCAGGGAAAAGAACGGAGTATTATTAGGAAAATCCAAACCCTCAATTTCCTTGTCACTAGTGCTACTCTCATGAAAAGGTGAAGCACTGTGAACGATTATTATTTAACCAGCAGAAGAAACAATGGGTTGAAAATGCACTGGGCAGCTTTTCCAAAGATGTACCAAATTTCTCCTGTCTACAGTCCATGCGGTCGCAAAGAGTCAGACATGACAGAGCGACTAAGTACACACACACAATTCCACCTCTACCCCACCACCAGCCCTGTCGCCATTGCTTTCCCGTGAAGCACAAAGCCTTCTCTGAAAAACCTTAAAAATGACTAACAGAAGGCATTATTGACAGTTGCTACTGATTTACGATGGTAAAGTCCCCAACAGGCCATCAGCTTGAGAATTACAATTTCCAGAGGATGGACAAGCACAGCTATTGCTGTGGTTTAAGAAAAGGTGCTAAAGGAAAAACTCTTCCTTATATTCTATTCAAAAGAGGATACAGGGCAGAAAAATGGCTTATATACTTAACTACAGCTCACTTTGACAGCATTTAAGGTGTTAGGAAAACTCAAAAATATGAAGTAGTGTGTGTAGAATAAAAAGAACTATGCCCTGGATTCCTGACTTGTCAAGGCGAAAGGTTCTAAATCCTTAGGTAATAAGTTACCTAAAAATATGTTTTTGTGTGCGGTGGAAGAATACGTTTTGGACACACACATATTTAACTCTGTATTTTAATTTGCGGCATTAAAAACACATTTAAAAAATCAAAAGAATATACAGAAATATAAAGTGAAAATTAAGTTTCTATTCTCCTTCAGGCCATTCCTGAGTGTCCCTCCCAACCCCTATTCCCATTCCTCAGAAGTAATCACACTTCCTGTGTTTTGTTTCAGAAATGTCCTGGGCTTATAAAAACATAATATCTCTCCCACTCTCCCCCTTAAAAGCCCAAATGGGATACATTAAAGTACTGCTTTTCAACTTGGACCTTTTCTATTTAACAGTATCCTTTTTTTTTTTAATTAGCTTATTTAGAACTCTCTAATTTTTAAGCTATTTTTAAAACTGAAAAATAAATACATAATGGAGAGGAAGTGAGAGACAGCTGTTTTTGGACAAATATGAAATTATCACTGTAAAAGGCTAATTATCTTTCCTCTGGAAGGAGAAAGACAAGATACAGAAAACACATTTCATTCCCCTCCCCACTCCTTTCTCTCTCTCTCACACACAGACACACATGCAAAAGCATTATCACTGGTTTAAACAATAATGTGGGTCCTTGACAAGTCTGTCAGACTGTACAACTAAAAAGCCAGAATTTATTAACCCCCAAAGTATAACAATGGAGGAGAGATGATCTTCTCTATTAAACAAAAGTATCTCTCATTTAGACCAATGTTAACTGTTTCAAGAGGGACTTCAGGGACTTTCTTCCGGTGCTTCTCAAATGAACAATATCACATATGTTAAAGTTCCAAAATGGCAGTTACAATTTCCAGTTGTCCTTCATAAAGTTATGGGAGGAGGTATGGCAGTCAAATCCAGGAAAAATTGGTGATGATTGGTTAAATGTGAAAACTTGGCTTGTGAGTATCTTAGGCTCTTAATGGTCCCAACTACTGACTGAAGGAATCATCAGTCTCCTGGCAGGCAGAATATACATTAAAAAAAATATATCTTCTTTGGAAGATTTCTCTTGTACAAATAATACTGAAGAATGTTCTTATAGACAAACAGCATACAAGACTGTAGACAAGTAGACAGAAGATGATGTTAAAAGTCAAATTTCACCATAGGACACTAGAATCTAATGAGAACCCCCAAATCTCAGAAACAGTAAGTGTGAGAATGAAAGACAAATGGATAAGCAGAGTTGAGTCATTTACCATTATTATTTGTGTGAGTTTAACTATGTGGACACATGTCCTCACCTTCACCGATTTTAAGGCTGGAAGAACCCTCAGTGATCATCTCTTTTAATAAGTAAGGAAACCGACACTATCACACAGAACAGGCTAGAACCTAACTTGCTTAGGTTAGGTCCTAACCTAAGGTCTAACCACTAGGTCTAACCTAGTGGACATACTTAAATTAGTATAAATGTATGATACATGTAAAGATACATAATATACATGATGGTCATTCGTGTTTAAAAAACAGCATCACATGAACCTTCTACCATAAACTGGGTGGCATCCTTCCAGGGCAGGAAGGCCTAGAATTGGGAAGTTGGAGGAGAGTGATGAAGGATGGGGAGACCAGCCAGGTCTGGTAGAGTTGGGAGCACCTAGCAGGTAAGCAGTATCCGAAGTTCAGGAAGTCTCTAGCGGACAAGGCAAGGCAGCTGTGGCCGGAAACGGAGGGGCAACACTAGAGCCACACTGTTTACTCTTTCCACTCACTCTGCTTGGCCAGGCCAGGGCTCCAGCCACCCCAAAGTCAAGCGTGCTTTCAGAGCGAGAGGAAGAGAGCCATGTGCATCTGTGTCAGATATTCCAGGAGCATCTTCAGCATTTCTCTCTCTTAAGGGCTCTGCTTGTTAAACCTGGATTTACATACAGGTCATAAACCCCATTCCTGGGTATTAGTTGATGACTGATGGGTGTGTTCTACTAAGCTGCTGTCAGGCAGATTTTTCCAATTAATTTCATTTAAGACAGTGGTGCTTAATCCTGGCTACACATCAGAATACTCTGGGGAGCTTAGAGAAAGAAAATACTTCTGCCAGAGCCCATCTCGACTAAATTCTGCTTTAATTGTTCTGAGATCCATTGGTAAATTTGAAAAACTCCTTAGGTGATTCTAATAAGTAGTCAGGACTGGAATCACTGATTTAAAACATCGGGGAAAGTTTCAATCAACTAATCAGTTGTTTCAAAATGGTTACGGTAGCATTATTTTCTTCACATCTGGCAATATGATTAAAAAATAATGAAGTAATTTGCAGAATATCCTGTCTTCATAAGACTTTTTCACTATCTACTCCTTGTTGCTAAGGAAAGTCAACAGATGACTGAATTCAAAAATAAATCTGAAACTGATGGCTCCACCGATTCTTCACCATCTTATTGCCATTATCTTCTTTGTCCAACTCACCTCATTTGCCATAGTAATCACTCCTTTTGACCTGCAGACTGAGCTGTCTGGGCAGTCCAAAAGGCATAGTACTTATCAGAGATTCCAGGAGAGTTTGTCATTCTGGGACTTTATGTGCTATGGAAATTCAACAGAGAAATCAGTGTGGACTGGAATAATTAGTAATCTGGAACTCCTTCCTACTTTTGGGCCCTCTCACTTTTATCTAGCAGAAGATTAAAAGAATTCCCTTTCTCTTCTACCTTTTGTTTGTTTTACTTGTTTTTTTCCTTCTTCCTTTCTAAGGCATTAGAAAAGGCAGGAGATAGGCCTAGAAAAACTCACTGACTTATAAAACTCTTTTAGTTCAGCATCATCTGAGACCAAGACGCCTTCCCAAGATCACACAGCTAGATCACCCCTAGAATGGGACATGGAACTGGGGACCTGACTCCCAAGCGCCATTCTGTTCAATACACCACCTGGCCTTTCAAGAGAGATCAAAGATACTCGGGAGGGCCTCCATCTTCCACAGGATGTTCTCCAGACATCTCATCCTTTGTCAAACTAGACCCCTTTTACTTAAATGACATTAAGTCTTCTCACATGCATCCTGCTTAATTCGGGACATGATAGCTTATGAACTTTGCTTTCTTCCGCCTCGTTATTAGAGCCCTGTGCAGCATTCTTGCCTGGAGAATCCCAGGGACAGAGGAGCCTGGTAAGCTGCCGTCTATGGGGTAGCACAGAATCGGACACGACTGAAGCGACTTAGCAGCAGCAGCAGCTGCTAATACTTAATTTCTATTGTTACATGCTTCTTGTTGATTTGCATTTATTGAATGTTTGCTGTTGTCAAATGTCACAAGGTTCTAAGAGGAAATTCCAAAAGAGAAGACGCTCCCTCTCGGAGGAGGAGAGTCTGGTTCTGGATAGACCCCTGCAGCCAGCCCCACGGGTCGCATTTCCCAGCTCTCCTAAGTCTGGGTCTCTGCGGGCAGCTCAGGCTCGGGAACGAGGGGATTTCGGGCTGTATTTGGGTACTTGGCCTGGCTTTTCTCAGAGCTGGTGAAAGTAACAAATAACCTGCCAGCATAGGAAGGAGCGGAGGTCCCAGGAGGGGGCTTCCGCCGCAAAGGCCGCGGAGCAGCTGTGCCGCCAGCCTGACTCAACCAGGCCCGGGGTTCTGACCGTATCAGCCCGGGGAGGGAAGGCGGGCCCGCCAGGGGCGGGGCTTGAGAGGAGCGGTAGGAGGAGGGGACTGGCCGGAGGGGAGAGACGAGGCAGGAGGAAGAGCCTCGAGGGAGGACAGGAGGAGAAAGCCAGAAGAAGCCAGTGAAGAAGGCCGCGGGAAAGGGCAGCAAGAGGAACCGAAAGGTGAACTAGACGAAAGGGGCGGGGAGGAAACGGGGAGGAGGCGGAGCCTGGGGAAGTCGGGGGCAAGGGAAGGGGTGGGGGCAAGGAGGAGCCAGGGGAGGTGCCGGGGGCGGGGCCGGGAAAGGGGCGGAGCCGGGGAGAGGCCTCCAAGGCCGCCGCCGCCTGGGCGCGTTCTCCTCCGGCTGGTAGGGCAGCCGGGGCGCTTCCTCAGCCGCCGCTCCCTGAAGCGCGGGCTCCGGCGGCCCCGGCCGACGAGGACTGCCCGCGCTAGCCGCCGCCGCCGAGCCGCGGGCGCACCCGAGCCGCCGCCGCCTCCCTCGGCGTCCGGGGCCGGCATGGAGCTCTTCCAAGCCAAGGACCACTACATCCTGCAGCAGGGCGAGCGCGCGCTGTGGTGCAGCCGCCGCGACGGCGGCCTCCAGCTCCGACCGGGTGAGGCTGGCGGCGGGGGGGCGGGGGTCGCCCTGGGCGGGTGGAGGAGGGGGGCGATGAGGGGGCGCGGCCGGGCCCCTCAGCCGGAGGCTGCGGATCGGGCGCCGCCTGTGGCCGTGGCGGGCGGGGCTGGCGCGAGCGAGGGCGCGAGATCTGTCATTATTTCCTGAGGGGAGGGGGCCGGGCCCCTGCCCCTCCGCTGGGGACAAAGGGCCGACGACCCTCGTCTCTTCGAGCGCGCTTCCCCGTCGAGATCCGTCCGCTCCGCTGCCCGGGGAGAGGGGAACCTGAGTAGAGGCGCCCGCAGTCGGGGTCGGGCCGGCGCCCACCAGAAAGTTCGGGCGAGGTGCGCCTGGCCTTAAAGGCCGTCTCCTCTCCGGAGTGCCCTCTGACCCGCCTTCCGGCAAGTTCTGGGTTCGAATCCCGGTCGCGCCAGTTCCCGTAGAAAGTCCTGCCGGAGCTTCAGTCCCTGTTGACATCTCTGTGTTTCTGGTCCCTTATCGTTACAGGCATGACTTCATTCTGATTACCTCATAAGCCCTCGATTTACAGCACTTTAAAAAAAATTTTAGTTTTACAATTAATCCGTAATGTTCAACTTTTAATGTTTATGTGTGACTCGATATTGTGTGACAGTGTCTCGTGGGTCAGTGTTTGAGTGTCGTGTAAAATGTCATGAGATGCCTCACTCTACAACATTAGTTTGCGTTAGGAAAACTAGGTCACAGTGGTGAGTTAAGCAGGACAGCCCCTGCCCTCAGAGAGCTGACAGTCCAGGGGGCGGTTTCTCTGGAGGGGCTCGGTAGCCCCTCCCGGTCGAGGTTGCCGGTCCCTTTTCCTAATCACCAAAGAGATCTTTCCTTTAAGGAGATGTGAGAGAATAGAGTTCTTTAAGGAAATCGCGAGAGCATTTCGAGTTTACCTGTAATTCTCGTGTGTAATCTAGACAAAGAATTAAGTGGTATGAATTGGAAAGTATCAAAGGTACAAATCAACCTTTTGTATATATCATAGCAGTTACCATATATAGGAGGGTTTCCAAGGATTTGGTCCCTTAATATATTATTCCCAGCCCTCAAAACAACCTTACCAGGCAGGTGGTGGTATCCTCATTTTCAGGTGAGGAGACAGGTGTGAAAGGTTGAGTAACTTGCTGGAGGTCACAGAGAGGAGAATTGGCCCTCAAGACTCTTGCTGACTGGTTCTACTACTTGCCTTGGGAGCTCTGGTGGTTGATTTGCTAGAGCAGTGAAGGAGAACTTTGTTGTATTTTTTTTTCCCCCCTAGTTTTTGGGTGTATTTTCTTGCTATTACGTTTTATTTCCTCTATTCAGAATGGAAGAGAAACTACTGCACCCAGATAAGGTTCTTGATAATCTTGAGACAGACGGTGTTGTAGATAGGCTAATTTTGGCCAGTCTCCAGTCATTCTCTTCTGTTTTTCCTGATTTGATCATTTGCCTGGTCTTTCCCCCCACCCCTGCCCCCAATGTTTGGGGAAGGCTTCAAGTGCAAACTGAGGGAAGGTAGATTGCAAAATTCTCTAGGCTGTCAAAGAGCCAGCTCTTTGGATTCTAAGAGCTTAAAATTAACTGTTTCAGCTGGATAGAACTTGACATCATCTTTAACTCACTGGACAGAACACTTTTCTGCACTTCATTTCCTCAGCTATAAAATGAGGGTTTGACTTTTTTGGTCTTTGTACATAATGAAACGTTTATGAAACAATGCCAGTTTAAGTGTTTGTTTGGTGTACCTCTTTGAGGACAAGAATTGACGTGTTTCATGGAAAACACTCAGGAAATCTCTAGGTCACTTGTATGTCAATAGTGAATTGAGGCAGATATAAATAGGGGTGGGTGTGGTTGTCTTCATTTCTAGGGATACTCACTCCTTTTCTCAGCCCCTAAGATTGATAGAGATGAACCAAACTGGTGGAATTACATGAAAGGAGATAAGTCCTCTAAATAGACAACTTTAAGTGAATTATTTGTCATTCTGTTTGGTTTGTGTTCATTTCTTGTACACAGAAACCTGTCCAGTCCTAATGGCTTTAGGGATAAGTTGCTCCCCTCAAGTGAAGTAAGTCAGCCCTCTTACAGGGCTGCCCTGGTGGTTCAGATGGTAAAGAATCTGCCCCCAGTGTGGGAGACCTGGGGTCCATCCCTGGGTCGGGAAGATCCCACAGAGCAGGAAATGGCTACCCACTCCATTATTCTTGGCTGAAGAATCCAATGGACAGAGGAGCCTGGCGGGCTACAGTCCATGGGATTGCAAAGAGTCGGACATGATTGAGCGACAAATGCTGATACTGATTAGGGATAAGTTGCTCCCGTTAAGTGAAGTAAGTCAACTCTTACAGGGTGTTGGCTAGTAGCTTACCTTTCTAGTGGAAGAATACTTAAACCCATACTTCTGAGCTGAGGAAGCTCAGATGGGCTATATAGGCTTAAGACTTGAAGGAAAATTAAGGGAAACCTGGGCCTAGATTTTGAATTAAGCCATGTAATTTGAAGTACCATTTATGTATCCAAAGTCCCTATCAGAAGGCAAATTAACTTTTTCCTGAGTAAATTGGTTGTAGTCTTTGCAATTAAGTTTATCTCACTTCTTAGGATGTAGCCAACCACAGACTAAAGTAGACCAAAAATATAGAGGAAGGAAGAGGCCATTATCTTTCAGAAAAGCCTGTTTTGATCTTCAGGTGTTCAAGTACATATAGCAAGCAAATAAAGAATCTCATGCTCTTGACTTTAAATAGTTTATCCTTTCTAGCACTCAAGAGCCTTTCTAAAGAATGACTGTAGAATAATGAGCCGACTCATTGGAAAAGACCCTGATGCTGGGAAAGAGTGAAGGCAAAAGGAGACGGGGTTGGCAGAGGATGAGATAGTTGGATGGCATCACTGACTCAATGGTCGTGAGTTTGAGGGAACTCCGGGAGGTAGTGGAGGACAGAGGAGCCTGGTGTGTTGCAGTCCATGGGAATGCAAAGAGTCAGACATGACTTAGCAACTGTGTAACAACTAAAAAATGGAATAATGGCTTTTTAATTGTTAAGGTTTTTCAGGTCTCTGTACACTAACTTAAAATTCTCCATTTTATTGGGTCATTTCCCTCTGCTTTTACAGTCAGTTTTGCTATTGTTTGTAATTAAAGAGTTTACGATCTTTCATAGTTTCTTATTGATTATTCAGCTGAATATATTACTAGCCAGCTCCCTTTTGTTTCTAAAGGGCAGTATCATAAAACCAAAAGAGCCTGTGAACATCGTGATTTTTATGTTTGTGGCTATTGAACAACCTGAAACAGTACTCTTTTCTAGTGGTATCAGACGGATCATTACTGATATTTAAGGTTAAAATGACCATTTCCTTAGCTTTGAATGTTTGTTACTGTTGGTCTTTTTTCCTTATTTTGTAAAGTCCAGTTTGGATGCCACCCCTTCTCTGTGCTCATTATAGTCTGCATTCCTGGGGCAGAATTATTGGTGACCTTTTTGTGTTTCCAGGTGTTTTATACACTTGGTACACGTTTTGTTTGTAGCTCTTACTGCTTCATATGAAAACAGTTTTCTTACTTCCTCAGTGGACAGAGCATTCCTCAAGCAAGGACTTTATTCTGCTTATCTTGGTATCTCTGAGCTTGAGTGTTAGGACACAGAAGGCATTTTTGGTTGAGTTGAACTGAGTTAAATTAAGTCCAGCTTTTCTCTCAGTAATATCATTGTCATAAATATAGAATATTGTGGATATCCTAATGAGGATACTCACTCATTTCAGGGCCTATTTTGAATATCTTCTAACTGGGGTGGAAAATCTCTGTCCAGCTGAATAAGGAAATAAATGTGAGGAAAGATGCATTTCCACTGTGATGTTTTTCTGATTTAACGTCACTTAAAAAAATTCTTTGGTATTCCTTATTTTCTTTAATGTTGTTTACATTTTTTCTTCTAAACAGTTGAATATTTTTTCTGGTGTTTCCATTCTTTTAAGGATAGTGCGTATTCTGGGATCATACTTAGAACTGCTTTTTGGGTTAGGGGCTTCCCTGGTGGCTCAGGGCGGTAGGAAACCTGAATTCTATGTCAAGAAGATCCGCTGAAGAAGGGAATGGCTACCCACTCCAGTATTCTTGCCTTGAGGATTCTGCGGACAGAGGAGCCTGGCGGGCTACAATCCATGGGGTCACAGAGAACCAGACACAACTGAGCGACTAACCCTTTCACTTTTTCACTATGTCTCTTTCAGGGTGATGGCTACCAGAGGAAAGTATTTAGTTTTATTTTCAACCAGGGAAAATGGTAAAGTACTGTGTAAACATTCAGTAATCTTCTGAGAGTGGAGTTTCACTCTCTGAGAATAAGGGCTGTAATTTAAAGACTTTAAAAGCAATGTAATACAGTCCACCATTGGGGAAGGGTGATATGGTCTTATCTCTTTAATCTTAAAATTGCTTCCACTTGTCCTTGTAGGTTGTTCTGATAGACCAGTGTTATATAATTTACTGCTGTGTATTGCTTCATTCTGAGACTAAGTGACCACAAAAAGATGGCAGAGCATGTCATACACGTAACATTCATAAGCATGTAAACTACTTAGAGATGAAACTCTGATAAATACCGGTGAGCGGTTATTGGAGGGGATGCTAGTTATCTGTTAGAATGCACAGAAACATAACAATGTGTTCGTGTTTTTCCTAGTTATTTTTTTGATATTTTTAATATGTCATATGAAAACTTTTTTGAATGAGAGATTAGCTACAGAACTGACATCTAAATAGAACTTTTATCTCCTTTGCAAAATTGTATTTTATGAAACTGTTCAGTTTAGCATTTTGTGTTATTTAGTATTTACTTTGAAAAAAATTTTAACTTTACCTTTTAAAAAAATCATGTTTACTAAAAATTCACAAAGTACCGTGACAAAATATAATAGGGCATTTTAATTTAACAATTAGTTATTAAATGTAAAAATCTTTTAAACCATTTTTGTTGCTGT